GATCCCTTGATCATTATGCAGTGTCCTATTTCATATCTTATTCCAGTCTCTACTTAAAGTCTATTTTGTCTAAATATTACTACTCCAACTTTTATTTCCATTTGCATGGAATACTTTTCTTCACCTCTTCAGTTTCAGTCTGTGTGTCTCTAGATCTGAGGTGAATGTCTTGTAGGCAGCACATATATGAGTCTTATTTCTATATCTGTTGAGCCACTCAGTGTCTTTGGATTTGGGCAGTTTTCATTTAAACTTACATTTACATTTAAACTAGTTATCAGTATGTATGTTCTTACTGCCATTTTGTTAATTGTTTTGGATTTGGGGGTGGCATCTTTTTTCCTTTTTTTCTTCATTGATTCTCTTGTGAGTTTATGGCTATTTTTAATGTTATGTTTGGACTCCTTTTTCTTTGTTTTTTGGTGTATCTGTTACAGACTTTTGTTTTATAATTACTGTGAGGTTTTTGTATAGCGGTCTATAATAAACACAGTTTAAGTTGCTTTTCTCTTAATTTCTAATGAATTAAAAAAATATGCTTTTGTACTCTCCTTATAATAGTTTTGATATCATATTTTACATTTAATTGTTTTATGTAGGACTTAACTTCTTACTGTGGATATAGATGATTTTACTACTCTTGATTTTAACCTCCCTAATAGCTTTGTGTGTGGGATATTACCTACATGTACTATACATTTGCCTTTACTGGTGACCTTTTTAATTTTATAATTTTCTCATTTCTAATTCTGGCCTTTTCTTTTTTCACCCAGAGGATTTCCTTTAACCTTGTTTGTAAAGCTGGTTTTAAGGTTCTGAATTCTAGCTTTTGCTTGTCTGTTAAGTTTTTGATCTCGCCATTAAATCTGAAGGAGAGTGTTGCTGGACTGCATGTGCTTGGTTGTATGTTTTCCCTTTCATCACTTTTGAGTTTTATCATACCACTCCCTTCTGGACTGCAGAGTTTCTGCTGAAAAATCAGTTGATAACCTAGCCTTATGGGAGTTCCCTTAAATATTGTTTCTTAGTTTAGTATTTTCTCCTTATCTATAATTGTCATTTTAATTACAATGTGTCTTGATGTGTTCCTCTTTGGTTTCATCCTCTGTGGTACTCTGTATTTCATAGACGTGGATGACTGTTTCCTTTCCCAGGTTAGGGAAGTATTCGCAGGTTAGGCAGTTGAATACTACTCTTAGTCCCTTTCTCTTTCCTTCTTCTGGGACTTCTGTAATGCAAATGTTAGTGTGCTTGATTGTGTCTCAGAGGTATCTTAAACTATCTTTATTTCTTTTTTTTTTGTTGTTGTTGATCAACTTTGGCTCCTTTTTATTCAGGAAGCATACGCTAATTAATTTTATACATTTTTTTTTTTACATTCCAGAAATAAGCGAAAATAGCAGTTTTAAATATGTTACAAAGTTGGCTTTGGGGGCTAAATAAGCTTTTCGAGAGAGGACCAGCCAACTGACCTTTTCATCAAAGCACCAATGTATCTTCAGTCTTTTACCAAGCTCTACCACAGCTGTGGCCACCTTGGATGTGTTGTACATCCAAGCCACATGAAAGCTGTTAACGGAGAGTTGCTGCGAGTCTCTCTGCAAGGCACCAAGAACAGACATTTCCAGCTTCCTTTCTTCAGACTGAATCAAAATTTTGGAAACTTTTCAATTGCTCTCTCAAGTAGTGCTCTCTCAGTGTGAAGACTGCTGCTGATGCTAAGTCGCTTCAGTCGTGTCCGACTCTGTGCGACCCCTTAGACGGCAGCCCACCAGGCTCCGCCATTCCTGGGATTCTCCAGGCAAGAGTACTGGAGTGTCTTTCTTTCTTTTCATTCTCTTTTCCATTGAGTGGCAATGATTTCCTCTATTCTGTCTTTAAGCTCACTGACCTGTTTCTCTGTATCATTTAGTCTATTACTGATTTATCCTAGTGTATTTTTCATTTCAGTTATTCTATTCAACTCTGTTTGGTTGTTATTTATATTTTCTCTTTGTTAAAAACTTCTTGTAACTTCTCACTCTGTGCATTCATTCTTCTCCCAAGTTATTTTGTTATCTTTGACACCATTAATGTGAACTCTTTCTCAGGTTTCTGATCTCTACTTCATCTAGTTCTTCTGGTGTTTTCTCTTGTTCTTTCTTCTGCCACCTCATTTAGTGTAGGAGATCAGATATGGAGAGCTGAATTGATCATCCTCTTGATTCATGCATACAATTTTTATCAATTCATCAAGGTCTCTTATTTATTTTATTTTGTTTTGTATCATTTTATTGTTTTATTTCTCTCCCTATCCCCCAACTTTAACACATCCTCCCCCTCTTATGAGGAGTCACTGAAATATCATTTTTGTATTTTTCTTCAATCCACCTTCCATAAAGTTACACTGAATTTTTAAAGTATCATGTCTTGGATTTTGTTATTATACATGTTAGAATTTGCAGAAATTTCATTGTGCTGCCTTTCTGTTTTTACATATTTTTACTCAACATTGTGCTGTTAAGATTCAATTCATATATAAGTAAATCATGATCACATGATAATGTATCACTAAATTTCCCTTTGGTGAAGGACTTCTTGTTATTGTTAAATCCCTTTATTTCTTAATGACTTAAGCTAAAGATTCTAGTAGGTGATTCAGATGACCACTGATCTGATCTCACCTCAGTAAGTGAGAAACACTTACTGGATGCCACAGGCACAACAGGTTATTTATGGGATGTAAGGAATCAAAAGATTACTTGAGAACCTATGCCTAGATTGAAACTAAGAGCAATTATATTTTTTATAAATAAAATGTTTATACTTACAATACTCCTGTTATTTTTCAGTAGAGATAGCTATACTAGTATAATTACATTAAAGTGGAGTTTAAAGACTTTAAAGAAAGACTAGGACCTGTTTTGATGAATTTGAAATATATTCCTGATGTGTGATTCTTTTTCTGTTTTATAAATAGATCCATTTGTATCATTTAAAAAATTTTAATTTCACATAAGTGAATTTGTCTTTATCTGACTTATTTCACATAGCATGATAACCTCTATTTTGTTCTTTTTATGGCGGAGTAATATTCCCTTATATATAAGCACTGCACATTCTTTATCCATTCCTTTGCCATTGAATATTAGGTTCCTTCCATATCTTGGCTATCATAAATAGTGCTGCAGTGAACTTTTGGGTGCATATATCCTTTCAGATTATGTCTTCTCGGGAGATACGCCCAGGAGTGGGATTGCTCGGGCATGGTAGCTCTATTTTTAGTTTTTTAAGGAGCCATCATACTGTTCCCCCAGTGTGCTCTGTTGCTCACTCATGTCCCACTCCTTGCGACCCCATGGAGTGTAACCCATAAGGCACTTCTGTCCAAGGAATTTTCCAGGCAAGAATACTGCAGTGGGCTACCATTCCCTTTTCCAGGGGATCTTTCCAACCCAGAGATCCGACCCACATCTCTTGCATCTCCTGCACTGGCAAGTGGATTCTTTACCAATGCGCCCCCTGTTGTACTAGTTTACATTCCTGCCTGTGTAGGAGGGTTTCCCTTTTCTCCACACTCTTTCTAGCATTTACTGTTTGTAGATTTTTTGATGATGGGCTTTCTGACCGTGAAAGTTGATATTTCGTTGTAGTTTTGATTTGCATTTCCCTAATTATTAGTGAGGTTGAGCACCTTTTCATGTGCTTTTGGGCCATCTATATGTCTTCTTTGGAGAAATGTCTGTTTGGGTCTCCTGCCCATTTTTTTGACTGGGTTGTTTGTTTTCTTGATATTGAGCTGTATGAACTATTTGTATTTTAGAAATTAATCTCTTGTAAGTCACTTCATTTAAAAATATTTTCTCCTATTCTGTAGGCTGTCTTTTCATTGTGTTTATGATTTCCTTTGCTATGCAGAAGTTTTTAAGTTTAATTAAGTCCCATTTCTTTGTTGTTGGTTTCATTTTCATTACTCTAGGATGTAGATAAGAAAGTATTTCTGTGATTTGTGTCAGAGAGTGTTCTGCCTATGTTTTCTTCTAAGAGTTTTATAGTGTCTGGCCTTAAATTTAGGACTTGATCCATTTTGAGTTTTTTTTTTTTTTTGTATGGTGTTAGAGAACGTTCTAATACAGTTTTTGCAAAACCACTTGTTGAAGAGACTGTCTTTTCTGCATTGTAAATTCTTGCCACCTTTGTTATGGATTAACTGACCATAAGTGTGTGGGTTTTTTCCATAGGGTTTCTATCCTATTCCATTGATCTGTTTTTCTTATTTTGTGCCACTGTTGTACTCTTTTGATTATTGTAGCTTTATGGTGTAGTTTTATATTGTGTATTATTATTATTTTTAATACAAAGGCCTTTTATTTATAAATTTGTAATTTAGTCAACTGTAAACACATTTAAGGGGATTCAGCTACACTGAAATTCTTATCAGAATGTTTGGATGCTCTTGGGCAAAAGGAAGTTTTTAAATTGAACAGTGGTTGATTTACAATATTGTATCAATTTCGGGTATACAGAAAAGTGATTCAGTTATGTATATACATATTTTTACAGATTATTTTCCAATATAGGTGATTGCAAGATATTGAATGTAGTTCCCTCTGGGTTTTTTATTTTCGATGTAGTGTAAACGGGATTGTTTCCTTTATCTGATTTGCTGTTCTTAAATCAGAGTACATGGGAGAATCACCTGTTCAGCTTTTAGATATTTTAGATTCCTGGACCTTGCCCCTACCTTTTAAAATCTTAGGATAGGGCCTCAGAAATTATATTTTTAGGAAGTTCTTAAATGATTAATATGTACCCACTATGGCATCAACTGGAAAACTACTGCATTATAATGTATCACTTATTTTACATTATTTTTTAAATGAAAATCAATTATATACCATTAGAATGTTATTCATTTATGCTGAAGTTATTAGTTTTCATTTAAAGTTAGTTTTATATTGCTGTATATAAAAGAACACTTACTTACATATTATAACTATCTAATGTATCTGTTAAATTAGATTTTGAATAGTATTAAAGTGGATACAGATTTGAGAAAAATATGTGCGCCAATATTTGAAGTAAACCTACAGTTGAGAACTCCTGCTGAGAGTGATTCTTCAGAAAATTCTGAAGAGAACTTACATGAGTCTGACGAGTGCTCTGAAAAATCTGCAATATATGGAGATACATCAGAAAATGAAGTCAATGTTTTCATTAAACAATCAAGTGAAGAACTACTTCCAATGAAGAAATCAAAAACAATGAGTTACAGCTATGAAATTCTTTCAGGTAAAGTGAATGACACTATTAAAAGTGAGAGGAAATATCTCAGCAGCTGGAAAATGTGAGAGAAAATTTTAGTAGTTTATGTATTATCAGTTAATAGTCTATGATTTTTATAAATGTTAAAGGATAAATTAAAATAACACATGGAAGAAAATTTTAGTAGTTATGTATTTATCAGTTAATAGTCTATGATTTTTATAAATGTTAAAGACTCTTGAATTTCTTCTCAGATCTCCTTAATCAGAATCTGGGGGTGGGGTATACTGCTAGAATTCAGTCTTTTTTTTTTTTTTTCCATTTATTTTTATTAGTTGGAGGCTAATTACTTCACAACATTACAGTGGTTTTTGTCATACGTTGAAATGAATTAGCCATGGATTTACATGTGTGCCCCATCCCGGTCCCCCCTCCCACCTCCCTCTCCACCCCATCCCTCTGGGTCTTCCCAGTGCACCAGGCCCGAGCACTTGTAATTCAGTCTTTAAAGTAATCTTTCCAGTTTATTCTTAGGGTTTTAGAAAGTACTGACAATATAACCTTGTTAATTAGGTGACATAAATATCAGTTTTTACATGAAAATAAATTTTTATTCTGTTTCTTTTGATGGATTCTGATAGAACTAGACTTCGAAACTGAGTTTGAGAAAAATGGCATGAATGATGAGTAAGTACTAGATATTTTTGAAATTACAAGTAATTGTATTTTATGTTACTGTATTCTTCTTATATATGCTTTTATTATTTTCTCTTAGACTTTTAGAATTCCCTACAAATCTCTTTATAACGCCCAACAGATTGGAGTTTTCAATACAAATTCAAAATATGGTGGCTGCTATTGAGAAATGCATAAGTAAGTATTTTTTAAAGTTTAGTTAGATTCACTGTCTTTCTTTGGCAACATCCCAGGAATGTGCAGACATTACAGTATATTAGAAAATTATAAACTCACACTCTTTGGAATCAATCAATGTGAACTTCAAATTATTTGAGGATGTGTGAATTATATATATGGCCGTTGAGTGCTTAACTGTTGGGAATTAGGTAAATAGCCCAAGGTTCTGATTTTTTCGATAATGTACTACAGAATTTTATAGACTTAAATAAGGCATGTCTTTTATATCAGAGCATAACAGTTGTAAATATTATTTTCACCTTACATTTTTATTAATAGTTTTCAGCATATAGGTCTTTCATCTCCTTTATTAAATTTTTTCCCAGATATTTTTGGGATGCAATTTTACATAGGATTTTTTTTCTTTTTACTTTCCCTTTCTAAATTTTCATTATTAGTATAAGAAAATACAAGAGGTTTCTGTGTTTTAATATTGTATTTTGCAGAATTCATTTATTAGCTCTAATAGTTTTTGTGTGGAGATTTTTAAAGTTATATTTATGGAGTATCATATCTTTGCAAATAGTGACAATTTTACCTCTTCCCTTCAAATTTGTGTACTTTTTTCCTTTTCCTTCTCTGATTGCTGTGGCTAAGACTTTCAACACTACGTTGAATCAAAAGAGTGAGAGGAGGCATTCTTGTCTTGTTCCTGAATTGACTGGGAAAGCTTTTCAGATTTTCACTGTTGGGAGTGATTTTTACTGTTTGTCATAAATGGCCTTTATTGTGCTGAGATGACACCACCCTTATGGCAGAAAGCAAAGAAGAACTAAAGAGCCTCTTGATGAAAGTGAAAGAGGAGAGTGAAAAAGTTGGCTTAAAACTCAACATTCGGAAAACTAAGATCATGGCATCTGGTCCCATCACTTCATGGCAAATAGATAGGGAACAGTGGAAACAGTGAGAGATTTTATTTTGGGGGGCTCCAAAATCACTGCAGATGGTGATTGCAGCCATGAAATTAAAAGACAATTGTTCCTTGGAAGAAAAGTTATGACCAACCTAGACAGCATATTAAAAAGCAGAGACATTACTTTGCCAACAAAGGTCCATAGAGTCAAAGCTATGATTTTTGCAGTAGTTATGTATGGATGTGGGAGCTGGACTATAAAGAAAGCTGAGCACCAAAGAATCGATGCTTTTGAACTGTGATGTTGGAGAAAACTCTTGAGAGTCCCTTGGACTGCAAGGAGATCCAACCAGTCCATCCTGAAGGAGATAAGTCCTGAATATTCATTGGAAGGACTGATGCTGAAGCTGAAACAATACTTCAGCTGATGTGAAGAACATTTGAAAAGACCCTGATGCTGGGAAAGATTGAAGGCAGGAGGAGAAGGGGATGACAGAGGATGAGATGGTTGGATGGCATCACTGATTCAATGGACATGAGTTTGAGTAAACTCTGGGAGTTGATAATGGACAGGGAGGCCTGGCGTGCTGCAGTCCATGGGGTCGCAAAGAGTCGGACGTGACCAAGCGACTGAACTGAACTGATTGTGCTGAGATCTGTTCCCTCTGTACCCACTTTGGTGAGAGTTTTTTTCATGAATGGATGTTGAATTTTGTCAAATGCTTTTTCCGAGTCTATTGAAATGATCATGTGTTTTTGTCTTTCCTTTTGCTAATGTGGTGTATAGCATTGATTGCTTTGTGTGTGTTAAACCATCTTTGTGATATAGTAATGAATCCAACTTGGTCATAATGTATGATCCTTTTTATGTACTGGGGGATTTTTTTGAGGATTTATGTTAATATTTTTCTGAGGAGTTTTGCATCTGTATTCATCAAAGCTATTGGCCTTTAATTGTCTTTTATTGTGGTCTCTTTGGTTTTTGTGTCAGGGTGATGAGGAACCTCTGGAATACATTTGAGAATGTTGCCTTCTTTTCAGTTTTTTAGAATAGATTGACAATCATAAGTGTAAGTTCTTTGTATGTTTGGTAGAATTCCCCAGTGAAGCCATTCAGTCTTAGACTTTTGTTTGCAGGTAGTTTTTCTAATTACAGATTTTTTTCACTTCTAGTGATTGGTCTGTTCAAATTATCTGTTTCTTCCAAATTCAGTATTGGCAGACTATATGTTTCTAGAAACTTGCTCATTTCTTCTAGGTTTAACATTTTGTTTGCATATAACTTTTCATAATATTTTTTCATAATTTTTTGTGTTTTTGTGATACTGGTTGTTATTGCTCATATTTCATTTTTTATTTTGTTTATTTTTGTCCTTTCTTCTTGCTGAGCCTGGCCAGATGTTTGTTGATTTTGTTTATCTTTTAAAATCACCTCTACATTTTATTGATATTTTCTATTATATTTTTGTTTATATTTTATTTATTTCCTCTGATCTTAATTATTTCCTTCCTTCTGTTGACTCTGGGTTTTGTTTATTCCTTTCCTAAGTCTTTTAGGTGGTAGGTAGGTTATTTATTTAAGAGTTTTTTGTTCTGTTTTGTTTTTTTGAAAAAGATCTGTATTGCTATGAACTCCACCTTAGAACCTCTTTTTTTGCATCTCATAGAAGTTATAATGTTGTGTTTTTAAGTTGCATATTTGGTGTTATTTTCTGATTATTCTTTGATTTCATTGTTGACTCATTGGGGTTTTAGTAGCATGTTTAGTCAATTGTTTGGCTTTTTTTCCCATTTTTCTTTTTTAGTTGATACCTAGTTTCATATTGTGGTCAGAAAAATTGATTGAATTAACTTCTGTTCTCTTAAATGTTTTGGGGCTCATTTTCCAATTTAGATTATGTTCTATCCTAGAGAACATACCAGGCACACTTGAAAAGAATGTGTGTTAATGTTTTTTGAATGTAGCCTTCTGTTGTTGTTCAGTTGCTGAGTCATGTCTGACTCTTTGACTGCAGCACGCCAGGCTTCCCTGTCTTTCACTATCTCCCAGAGTTTGCTCAAACTCACATCCATTGAGTTGGTGGTGCCATCCAACCATTTCATCCTCCATCATCCCCTTCTCCTGTTTCCCTCAGTCTTTCCTAGCATCAAGGTCTTTCCCAGTGAGTCAGCTCTTCACATCAAGTGGCCAAAGTATTTGAGCTTCAACTTCAGCATCAGTCCTTCCAATGAATATTCAAGGTTTATTTCCCTCAGGATTGACTAGTTTGATCTCATTGCTGTCCAAGGGACTTTCAAGAGTCTTCTCTAGCACCACAATTTGAAAGCATCAATTTTTCAGCACTCGGCCTTCTTGATGATCCAACTCTCACATCTATACATGACTACTGGAAAAACCATAACTTTGACTGTATGGACCTTTGTCAGCAAAGTGATGTCTCTGCTTTTAACCCACTGTATGGGTTTATCATAGCTTTTCTTCCAAGGATCAAGCATCTATTAAGTTTGTGGCTGCAGTCACCATCCTTAGTGATTTTGGAGCCCACAAAAATAAAATCTGCCACTGTTTCTACTTTTTCCCCATCTGTTTGTATGAAGTGATGGGACCAGATGCCATGATCTTAGTTTTCTGAATGTTGAGTTTTAAGCCAGCTTTTTCACTCTCCTCTTTCATCCTCATCAAGAGGCTCTTTAGTTCCTCTTCATTTTCTGCCTTTAAAGTGATATCATCTGCATACCTGAAGTTGTGATATTTCTCCCAGAAATCTTGATTCCAGCTTGTGATTCATCCAGCCTGGCCTTTCACGTTATGCATTCTCCATAGAAGTTAAAATGAGCAGAGTGACAATATGCAGCCTTGACATACTCCTTTCCCTGTTTTGAACCAGTCAGTTGTTCCATGTAAGTTTCTTTATCCATGCTCTCACTTTTTGTCTGTCTGCACGTCGTTTGCCCTGAAGTGAGTCTCCTGTAGGCCGCATATTTCAGGTTCTTGTGTTATTATCAAATCTGTCATTCTCAGTCTTTTGATTAAAGCATATCTGACTCTTTGCGACCCCATGGACTGCAGCACGCCAGGCCTCCCTGTCCATCACCAACTCCAAGAGTTTACTCAAACTCATGTCCATCTTTTTAGGTCTTTGCTTATTTTTTTGGGAGGGTGTTTATTTATTGTTAGGTTGTGAGAGGTCTTAATATGTACTCTGAATACAAGTATTTTATCAGAGACAACATTTGCAAAATTTTCTCCCTGTCTATGCCTTAACTTTTCATTCTGTTTTTATTCTTTTTTAAATTTTTATTGAAATATAGTTGCTTTACAATGTGTGTTATTTTTTGCTATACCACAAAGTGAATCAGTTATATGTATATCTACATCTTGTCATTTTTGGATTTCCTTCTCATTTCGGTCCCCACAGAGCACTGAGCAGAGTTCTCTATGTTATGCAGTAGTTTCTCGTTAGTTATCTGTTTTATACATAGTCATTATATATGTCAGTCCCAGTCTGCCAGTTCATCCCACATCCTTCCCTGCTTGATATTTATAAGTTTGTTCTCTATGTCTATGTCTCTATGCTTGCAAATAAGTTAATCTGTACCATTTTTCTAGATTCCACATATAAGCAATATTATGTGATATTTTTCTCTTTCTGACTCACTTCACTCTATGACAGTCCCTAAGTCTACCCACATCTCTGCAAATGGCACTATTTTGTTCCTTTTCATGACTGAATATTATTCCATTGTAGGTATATACCACATCTTTATCTATTCCTCTGTTGATGGATATTTAGTTTGTTTCCATGTTCTGGCTATTGTAAATAGCACTGCAGTGAATTTGGGGGTGCGTCTGTCTTTTTTTAATTTATGTGTGATTGGAGGATAATTGCTTTACAATATTGTGTTGGTTTATGCCATATATCAACATGAATCAGCCATATGTATAAGTATGTCCCCTCCCTTTTGATCCTCCCTCCCATCTCCCACCCTATCCCACCCCTCTAGGTTGTCACAGAGCATGGGTTGCGTGTATCTGTTTGAACTATGGCTTTTCTACAGGTATATGCTCAGGTGTGAGATTACTGGATCATAGGTTAGTTCTATTTTTAGTTCCTTGAGAAACTTCTGTATTATTCTCCATAGTGGCTGTATCGATTTACACTCCACCCAAACAGTAGGAGGGTTTCCTTTTCTCCACATCCTGTCCAGCATTTATCATTTGTAGATATTTTTGATGATGGCCATTGTGACTGGTGTGAGGTGATACCTCATTGTAGTTGCAATTTGTGTTTCTCTAATAATTAGTGATGTTGAGCATCTTCTCAAGTGTTTATTAGCCACTTGTATGTCTTCTTTGAAGAAATGTCCATTTCCACTCATTTTTTGATTGGAGTGTTGGGATTTTTTTATATTGAGCTACATGAATTGTTTGTATGCATTGGTGATTAGTCCCTTGTCAGTTGCTTCATTTGCAAATATTTTCTCCCAATCTGTGGGTTGTGTTTTCATTTTGTTTATTAAATATAAGGCTGCACACTATAAAACTCTTAGAGGAAAACATAGGCAGAACACTCTTTGATATAAATTGCAGCAAGATCTTTTTTGACACACCTCCTAGAGTAATGAAAATAAGAACAAGCAAATGGGATCTAATTAAACTTAAAAGCTTTTGCACAGCAAAGCAAACTGTAAATAAAGCAAAAAGACAACTATCTTTTCATTGATTCTCACAGAGCTAAACTTATTAATTTTGATAAGATATAGTTTGTCAGTTTTTTTGTTTTATGGATTATGCTTTTGGTTTTGTCTCTTAAAAATTCTTTGCTTAACTTAAGGTCACACATATTTTCCCTATGTTTTCTCCTAGAAGATTTATAGATTTGTGTTTTATATTTAGATATGTCATTTATCTTGAGCTGACTTTTGGATAGTGTATGCAGTGTACATTGAAGGGTTTTTTTTTTTGCCTTAGACATCCAATTTGTTCAGCTTGATTATGAACTCAAAGAAAATAGAGATAATGCCTTCTAATTTTTGTATCCTTGTAATGATATAATGCTCTTCACACAGCAGGTACACTTTAAGTATTTGTTAACTTAATGATTTCTTCTGATTTTTTGATCATACCTTGACCCACCACCCAGTACCTATGCATGATTATTTGTTTCTAGAATATTAATTCCAAATTTTTATACCTGCCTTTAAGTTCCATTTATCAGTATAGAATACTGGATAGCCCTCACAGTAAATCTACCTCAGTTATCAGTAGTTCTAAATGTCCTTGATAATTTTAAAGCATTGCTTTCAATGGAATTTCTGAATGTACTAAACTTTGAATCATATATTTTAGCCAAAATTATTCCTCTTTGCCAAGATCCCCGCCTGTCTATCTTTACTGAGTCGGCTTTAATTATGGATTTACCTAATAAGAACAAAAGTGTAATAGACTATCAAACCAGATGGCCAGATTGTCAGGTCCTTTTTGAAATGGATCCTGCCTACCAAGATAAAGTAAGTTTAAAAATAGTTTATCTTAAGGAAGGTATATTTGTCTTAAGGTATATTTGGCTTCAGTGCACAGATGTGCACTGAAATTTTTAGATGAAAGGGATTTATTAGAGTATCATAATTAATGGCAACTGGAAAATCACTCCCAGCTTAGCTCCCTATTTGTCTTCCTCATGATCTTTCCTCTTTGTTTGCCTCTATGTGTTTTTTCAAACCTCCACTATGAAAAAAATCTTTTTCTTTTATAGTTCCCTCGTAATATTGACTTGCTAATGATGGCCCTGACTTTTCCCATTACTATCTAATGTGGCATTTTATTGTTCAAATTCATAAAACAGCCAACTTTCCTATCCTGGGTCAAGATTCTATCCTACCCAAAAGGCCATGTTTTAAGAATTAATATTTAGAACTTATTTTTTCTAGGGCTATGTGTGAAGCATATACACTAAAACAAGGTGACAAGCAAAGGAATAAATGACTGACATCTCTACTGCATGGCTCAAGATAACATACTAATTATAAAGTTAAATAGCCTACTAAAGCTTTACATAAAGTGAAATATAAAAAGCTATCTAAATTTCTTAAAGTCTTAAGTTTCCTACATATTTAGATACTTAACAGACATTCTTAACAAAATGAACTTCACATAAAACCATTTTAAATGTTTTAACCAAACTATTAGGTTATTAGACCATACTATTATCATTTAAAAAAAATCCTGATTAACTTTCTAACATTTTTATTTATAGATTGTGAATTTCCTGACTATTATTGGAACTTCAATGGGCCAAGTTAATATTTACAGCTGCCAGTTTAGGAAATATTGTACTATGGTAGAGAAGGCCAAAATCATGGGTACCAAAATATCATCTATGGAAGAATTAACTTCAACACAGTTTAAAAGTATACTGTCTAAATTCAGAAACTACCTTCGACAAATTGTTAATATGGCCATTGAGAAGCGCATTGGTATTTTCAAAGTTAGGAGTTTTGATTATCAGTTACAATGCTTACCATATGTTGAGAACATCATAGATATGAGCCAAAACCTCTTGAGATCTGTAATTGAAAGAAAGAATGCAAATCTATTGGAGGTAAGTATTTTGAAAATTCCTATTGCATGAGAATCGATTTTTAAAATTTGTAACACTTTATTGAGATAATATCTGTTTATAATATTACATAAGTTTCATGTGTACCACATTGTATTTCAATCCTTTTCTTCCTATCCTATCCAATACTTGTTATTTCTACCTTTTTTCATAATAGCCATTCTGATAGGGGTGAGATAATATCATTGTGGCTTTAATTTACATTTCTGTAATTTTAGTGATGTTGAACATCTTTTCATGTGTCTTTTTATGTATCTATTGGCCATTTGCACGCATTCAGTGGAAAAAAGTCTATTCAGCTCTTCTGCCCATTTTTTCAGAGAAGGCAATGGCACCCCACTCCAGTACTCTTGCCTGGAAAATCCCATGGATGGAGGAGCCTGGCAGGCTTCAGTCCATGGGGTTGCTAAGAGTCAGACAAGACTGAGCGACTTCACTTTCACTTTTCACTTTCATGCCTTGGAGAAGGAAATGGCAACCCACTCCAGTGTTCTTGCCTGGAGAATCCTAGGGATGGGGGAGGCTGGTGGGCTGTCTATGGGGTCGCACAGAGTTGGACACAACTGAAGCAACTTAGCAGCAGCAGCAGCAACCCATTTTTTAATTGAGCTGTTTGTTTTTCTATTGTTAGTTGTATGAGTTCTTTATATATTTTGGATCTTCATCTTTTATCAGATATAAGATTTATAGATACCTTCTCCCATTCAGTAAGATGTTTTTTTTTAAATGTGTTCATGGTTTCCTTTCCTGTGCAGAAGCTTTTTTAGTTTGATGTAATCCCATTTGTTTATATTTGATTTTGTTTTCTTTCCCTGAGGAAAAAAATATTAAGGGAAATGTCAGAGTTTACTGCCTATGTTTCCTTCTAGGATTTTTATGGTTCAGGTCTTACATTCAAGTTTTTAATCCATTTTGAGTTGATTTTTGTGTGTAGTTTAAGGTAGTGTCCAGCTTCACTCTTCCACATATGGCTGGTCAATTTTCCCAAAACTTATCAAATAGACTTTTCATTTTCCATTGTATTTACCTTGCTCCTTTATTATAAATTAATTATCCATATATATGTAGGTTTAATTCAAGGCTACCATTTTTGTTCCATTGATCTATGTGTCTCGCTTTATGCCAGCACTCTACTCTTTGAATTACTGTAGCTGTGTAGTATGTTTTAAAATGAGAAAGTGTGATGGCTCTGTCTGTGTTTTTTTCTCAGGATTGCTTTGCTTATTTGGGGTCTTTTGTGATTCCATATAAATGTTAGGATTTTTTTCTAGCTCTTGAAAAATGTCACAGATATTTTGATAGGGATTGCTTTGAGTCTGTAGATTGTCTTAGGTAATAGGGACATTTTAACATTAATTCTCCCAATCTATAAGCATGAAATATTTTTCCATTTCTTTGTGTGTTCTTCAGTTTCTTTCATTAATGTCTTACAGTTTTCAGTGTACAGCTTTCATGTTTCTGGTCAAATTTATTTTTAGGTATTTTATTTCTTTGGTATGATTTTAATTGAGATTGTTTTCTTAATTTCTCTTTATGCTAATTAATTTTTAGTATATACAAGCACAACAGATTCTTCTGTATTGATTTTAAGGCCTACAATTTCACTGTATTAATTTATAATTTCTAATATTTTTGGTGGAGTCTTTTGGATTTCCTATATATAAAATCATGTTATTCACAGGTAGTAACAGTCTTTGTTCCTATTTTCCAATTTGGGTGCATTTTATTTTCCTTCTACAATTGCTTTGGCTAGGAATTCCAATATTATGTTGAATAGAATTGGTAAGAGTGAGCATCCTTGTCTTATTCAGAATTTAGCAGGAAGCTTTTACCTTATTGAGTGTTATATTGCCTGTGGATTTGTTGTATGGAGCTTCCCAGGTGGCATTAGTGTTAAAAAACCTGCCTACCAGTACAGGTAGATGTAAGAGACATGGGTTCGATCCCTGCATTGGAAATGTACCCTGGAGGAGGGCACAGCAACCCACTCCAGTACTCTTGCCTGGAGAATACCAAGGACAGAGGAACCTGGGAACCTCCAGTCCATGAAGCTGCATAGCATCTGACATGACTGAAGAGACTAAGCATGCATGCATGGCCTTTATTATGTTGAGATATGTTCCCTCTATATCCATGTTGCTGAGAGTTTTTATAATGAATGAATGTTGAATTTTATCAAATACTTGTACTACATCTATTGCAATGATCAGATGGTTTTTGTCTTTTGTTTTCCTGATGTGCTGTATCACTTTGATCGATGTGTGTAAGTGGAATCACCATTGTGACCCTGGAATGAATAAAACTTGATCGTGGTGCATGATCCTTTTTATGTGTTGTTAGATTTTGTTTGCTAGTATTTTGTTGAGGATTTTTGCATCTATATTCATCAGAACTGTTGGCATGTAATTTTCTTTTTGAGTAATGTTTTTGTCTGGTTTTGGTATCAGGTGATTGGGATCTCATAGAATGAATTTGGGGATGTTCTGTTCTCTTCAGGTTTTGGGGAGAATTTAAGAATGATAGGTATAAGTCTTTGGTATGTTTGTAAGTTCTTCCCTGCGAAGCTATTCTGTCTTGGACTTCTGTTTGCAGGGAGCTTTTTTTTTTTTATTACAGATTCTGTTCCAGTTCTAATAATTGATCTGTTCAAATTATCTGTTTCTTCTTGATTTGGTTTTGGCAGGCTGTATGTTTCTAGGAACTTCTCTATTTCTTCTGGGTTGTCCATTTTGTTCGCATATACTTTACATGCCTCCTGAGAAACCTGTGTGCAGGTCGAGAAGCAACGGTTAGAACTGGACATGGAATAACAGACTGGTTCCAAATTGAGAAAGGAGAATGTCAAGGCTGTATATTATCACCCTGATTATTTTACTTATATGCAGAGTATACCATGCAAAATGCTGGGCTGGATGAAGCACAAGCTGGAATCAAGATTGCCAGGAGAAATATCATTAACTTCAGATATGCACATGACACCACCTTAATGACTGAAAGCGAAAAGAAACTGAAGAGCCTCTTGATGAAAGTGAGAGAGGAGAGTGAAAAAGCTGGCTTTAAACTCAACATTCAAAAAAATGAAGATCATGGCATCATCCCATCACTTCATGGCAAATCGATGGGGAAACAATGGAAACAGTGACAGATTTTATTTTCTAAGCTCCAGAATCACTGTGGATGGTGACTGCAGCCATGAAATTAAAAAAAAAAAAATGCCTGCTCTTTGGAAGAAAACCTATGACAAACATAGACAGCATATTAAAAAGAAGGGACATCGCTTTGCTAGCAAAGGCCCATATAGGCAAAGCTATGGTTTTTCCAGTAATCATGTACGGATGTGAGAGTTGGACCATCAAGAAGGCTGATACTGAAGAACTGATGCTTTCAAATTGTGGTGCTGGAGAAGACTCTTGAGAGAGACCCTTGGACTGCAAGGAGATCAAACCAGTCAATTCTAAAGGAAATCAGTCCTGAATATTCATTGGAAGGACTGATGCTCAAGCTCAAGCTCCAATACTGTGGCCACCAGATGCAAAGGGTTGACTCATTGGAAAAGACCTGAGGCTGGGAACAACTGAAGGCAGGAGAAGAGAGTTACAGAGGATGAGATGGTTGGAGGCATCATTGACTCAGTGAACATGAGTTTTAGCAAACTCTGAGAAATAATGAAGCCAGGGAAGCCTAGCATTCTGCAGTCAATGGGGTTGCAGTCAGACATTACTGAGAAACTGAACAACTGTTCATAGTCTTCCTTACGGTTTTCTGTATTTCTGTGACATCAGTTGTTATTTCTCATCTTTCTTATTTTGTTTATTTAGTCATGTCTCTTTTCTTCTTGGTGAGCCTGTCTAGAGATTTGTTGATTTTGTTTATCCTTTTAAAAAAACAGCTCTTGGATTTATTTATTTTTCTTTTTTTTTTAATTTAATTTTATTTATTTCCTCTCTGTTTTTTATTTCCTTCCTTCAGCTGACTTAATTTTTATTTGTTCTTTTTCTAATTCATTTAGGTGGTAGGCAGGTTGCTTGAGATTTTTCTTATCTTTTGAGTAAGGCTTGTGTCATTATGAATTTTTTTCTTAGAACTGCTTTTGCTGTATCCCATAGATGTTGATAGTAATGTTTTCATTATTTGCCTAGAGTTATTTTTTATTTCCTATTTCATTTCCTCATTGACCCATTCTTTTTTTAGTATCAAGTGTTTAGTCACCATGTAGTTGTGGTTTTTTGCTTGTTTTCTTTCTATGGATGATTTCTAGTTTCATGCCATTGTGTTCAGAAAAGATGTTTTAAGTAATTTCTATTCTCTTAGTTTGTTGAGGCTTGTTTTGTGTACTAATATGTGGTCTATCCTAGACAATGTTCCATATGTGCTTGAAAATAACGTGCATTTTGTTTGTTTTTTGATGGAGTGTCTTGCAGTTATCAATTCTTGTTATTTAGCTGCCAAGTCATGTTCAAATTTTTGCAACCCTATGGAGTATAGCCCTCCAGGCTCTCTTGTCCATGAGATTTCTCAGGCAAGAATACTGGATAGGTTGCCATTTCTTTCTCCAGGGGAGCTTCCCAACCCAGGGATCAAACCTGCATCTCCTCCATTGGCAGGTGGATTTTTTACCACTGAGCCACCCAGGGAGCCCATAATTCCTGAAGGAAATCAACCCCAAATATTCACTGGAAGGACTGTTGTTGATGCTGAAGCTCCAATACTTTGGCCACTGGATGTTAAGAGCTGACCCATTGGAAAAGACCCTGATGCTGGGAAAGCCTGAGGGCAAGAGGAGAGGAGGGTGGCAGAGGATGACATGGTTAGATAGCATCACCAACTCAATGGACATGAATTTGAGCAAACTCCAGGAGATAGTGCAGGACAGAGGAGCCTGGTGCACTCCAATCCATGGGGTCACGAAGAGTTGGGCACAACTGAACAACAACCAAGTTTCTGTCCTTATCCTCTCTGTGCTTAAGCATCATTGCCTGTAAATCGGGGATAATATTTGTAACTGACCTAGAGAAGTCGTGAGAATTAAAGAAATTAATGGTTGCAAAGCTCTTTTACCCTTTTTGGCACATAGTGAACATATGTGAGTTACTTTTACAGTTAGAAGAATCATTGTTGTTAGTTCCAGAAAGTTGTTTCTGAGCTATATATATTTTTAGGAAGCTGTTCTGAATGTTCTATTTATTTCTCTTCTTTCTGGCTTCTGCATGCCCCCAGGTGTGTTTTTATAAAGGGAAGTAGCTTCCCTTTATATAGTTAAGGAAATTCCCTTATTTGCATAAGAGTTCCTAACTTGATATGTGTTTTTTAATCCTAAATTAACAGTATCAAATCCTTATTCTGTTTATCTCTTGTGATAATCATGCAGTTGTTTTCCTTTAACCTTTTCATGTGGTTAATTACATTAATTGACTTTCTAAGTTTAATTTCATATCTAAATTGATAGATATACCTTACCAGTATGCACATGCACATAGATATATTGCTACATTATTTTTAAATTTTTGCCTTTATGCTTGTAAGTGAAATTGGTCTGTAATTTTCTTTTCTTTTACCATCCTTAACTGAATGTACTACTAGTGACAAAAAGGAAGTTTGGGAATATTTCATGTCTTTCTACTACTCTATTCTACAAAAATGTAATTATCTGTTTTCTTTGGGATATGAGTTTATTTTAAAATATTTTCCTGGAATTTAATTGGGATTTGTGGTTGGAGTCAGGATAGTTGTCTTTACTCAGTCTTCTATTGTGATCAGTTTCAGTCAAATTCAGCAGGCATCATTTTAAACCCATTAATAAATTATTTTATTTGATTCTCAAAACTGTAATGAGGACACCAAGTTTATTAAAGTAAAGCTACTTTGGTTCATGCAGTTAGTAAATATGGGAGCTGGGATTCAAACACAGGTCTCTCTGACTTTAAAGTCAGTTCATACTAACCCTGTGATAAAAATGTATATTTAAGAGCAGGTTCACATATGTGCATGTATACTCCCATATACCCATACACCACAGTATAATTTCTGCTTGGTTAGCATAATTATCTCTGGGTGGTGAAGTAATATGTATTTTTATTTTATAAACTTTTTTTATTGCAGTTTTTGCATGAGTGTATAGTCAACTAGAATAAAGTATTTAAAAAATTAGACACATACACAGGCAATTAAAGGCTGTGAGCTGGAAAATTAAACTGATATTGATTACAGAATTATGAGTACTCATCAAGAGCCCTTGAAACATGAGGGAAACTATGGTAAAATTGTAATTTAAGTATAGGAATTTAATTCTTTTGAAAATCTAATGGAATGATATACATGTACTTATAAAAGGTGTGAATGTTATATATACACATATATATGGGCTTCCCTGGTGGCTCAGATGCTAAAGAATCCACTTGCATTTAGGATACACAGGTTTGATCCCTGGGTTGAGAGGATCCCCTGGGGGAGGGCATGGCAACCCACTTCATTATTCTTGCTTGGAGAATCTCCATGAACAGAGGAGCCTGGCAAGCTAAAGTTCATGGGATTGCAAAGAGTTGAACATGACTGAGCAACTAAGCACCCTACAGCACACACATATATTTGTGCATATATTTGTAATGATTGCATATACTTATAATGGGTACAAACAGGGTTTGGACTCTGATTTGGGTTTGAATCATAGCTCTGTAACCCTTTTTTTTTTTTAATTAGTTGGAGGCTAATTACTTTACAATATTGTAGTGGTTTTTGTCTTACATTGACATGAATCAGCCATGGATTTACATGTGTTCCCCATCCCGATCCCCCTTCCCACCTCCCTCTCCGCCCGATCCCTCTGGGTCTTCCCAGTGCACCAGGTCCGAGCACTTGTCTCATGCATCCAACCTGGGCTGGTGATCTGTTTCACCCTAGATAATATACATGTTTCGATTCTGTAACTCTTTAAATTTCATATCTTAGGCTTATTAATCCTTCTGAAACTCAGTTTCCCTCTTTGCAGACTAGAGAATATAACACTCAAGTAGTAAATATGCTTTCTTAAATTTCTTAAAATTGAAGAAAGTAGTGAAAACCACTAGACCATTCAGGTATGACCTAGATCCAATCTCTTATGATTATACAGTGGAAGTGACAAACAGATTTAAAGGATTAGATCTGATAAGACAGAGTCCCTGAAGAACTATGGATGAAAGTTCGTGACACTGTACAGGAGACAGGGATCAAGATCATCCCCAAGGAAAAGAAATGCAAAAAGGCAAAATGGTTGTCTGAGGAGGCCTTACAAATAGCTGTGAATAGAAGAAACGTGAAAGGCAAAGGAGAAAACAAAAGATATATCCATCTGAATGCAGAGTTCCAAAGAATAGCAAGGAGACATAAAAAAGCCTTCCTCAGCAATCAATGCAAAGAAATAGAGAAAAACAATAGAAAGGGAAAGACTTGAGATCTCTTCAAGAAAATTAGAGATACCAAGGGAACATTTCATGCAAAGGTGGGCACAATAAAGGACAGAAATGGGATGGACCTAACAGAAGCAGAAGAGATTAAGAAGAGGTGGCAAGAATACACAGAAGAGCTATACAAAAGAGATCTTCATGACCCAGATAATCATGATGGTGTGATCACTCAGCTAGAGCGAGACATCCTGGAATGTGCATTCAAGTGGGCCTTAGGAAGCATCACTATGAACAAAACTAGTAGACTTGATGGAATTCCAGTTGAGCTATTTCAAATCCTAAAAGATGATGCTGTAAAAGTGCTGCACTCAATATGCCAGCAGATTTGGCAAACTTGGCAGTGGCCACAGGACTGGAAAAGGTCAGTTTTCATTCCAATCCCAAAGAAAGGCAATGCCAAAGAATGCTCAAAGTACCACACAATTGCACTCATCTCACATGCTAGTAAAGTAATGCTCAAAATTCTCCAAGCCAGACTTCAACAGTATGTGAACCATGAACTTCCAGATGTTCCAGCTGGATTTAGAAAAGGCAAAGGAACCAGAGATCAAATTGCCAACATCCACTGGATCATCAAAAAAGCAAGAGAGTTCCAGAAAAACATCTATTTCTGCTTTATTGACTATGCCAAAGCCTTTGACTGTGTGGACCACAACAAACTCTGGAAAATTCTGAAAGAGATGGGACTACCAGAGCACCTGACCTGCCTCTTGAGAAATTTGTATTCAGGTCAAGAAGCAACAATTAGAACTGGGCATGGAGCAACAGACTGGTTCCAAATTGGGAAAGGAGTATGTCAAGGCTATATATTGTCAGCCTACTTATTTAACTTATATGCAGAGTACGTCATGTGAAATGCTGGGCTGGATGATGCACAAGCTGGAATCAAGATTGCCAGGAGAAATATCATAACCTCAGATATGCAGATGATACCACCCTTATGGCAGAAAGCAAAGAACTAAAGAGCCTCTTGATGAAAGTGAAAGAGGAGAGTGAAAAAAAAAAAGTTGGCTTAAAGCTCAACATTCAGAATACTAGCATCATGGCATCTGGTTCCATTACTTCATGGCAAATAGATGGGTAAACAGTGGAAACAGTGAGAGACTTTATTTTGGGGGGCTCCAAAATCAGTGCAGATGGTGACTGCAGCCATGAAATTAAAAGATGCTGGCTCCTTAGAATAAAAGTTTTGACCAACCTAGACAGCATATTAAAAAACAGAGATATTACTTTGCCAACAAAGATCTGTCTAGTCAAAGCTATGGTTTTTTCCAGTAGTCGTTTATGGATGTGAGAGTTGGACTATAAAGAAAGTTGAGCACCGAAGAATTGATGCTTTTGAATTGTGGTGTTAGAGAAGACTCTTGAGAGTCCCTTGGACAGTAAGGAGATCCAACCAGTCCATCCTAAAGGAAATCAATCCTGACTATTCATTGAATAGATTGATGTTGAAGCTGAAGCTCCAATACTTTGGCTACCTGATGCGAAGAACTGACTCATTTGAAAAGACCCTGATGCTGGGAACAACTGAAGGCAGGAGGAGAAGGGGACGACAGAGGATGAGATGGTTGGATGGCATCACCGACTCAATGGACATTGGAGTTTGAGTAAACTCCAGGAGTTGGTGATGGACAGGGAAGCCTGGCATGCTGCAGTCCATGGGATCACAAAGAGTCAGACACAACTGAACGATTGTACTGAACTGACTGAGTAAACATGCTATCATAACAAAATGAGATCGTGTACATGAACATAACATATAAATGCTCAAGAAAATGGGAGCAATTATTATGCACCGTTCACATTTCAGTCATAAACTTGTTACTACTACTGCGTTTACTTCTTAGAACAAATTTATTCATAATAGTATTTCTTTATGTCTCATATGTATGCATGCTTAGTTGCTCAGTCGTGTCTGATTTTTGCAACCCCATGAGCTATAGCCTGCCACGCTCTTCTGTCCATGGGAATACTGGACACAAGAACACCACACAAGAATACTAGGGTGGTTTGCCCTTCCCTTATCCAGAGGATCTTCCTGACCCAGGGATCAAACCTGGGTTTCCTGCATTGCTGGCAGACTCTTTACCATCTGAATCACCACAGAAACCATCTTTATGTTTTAGTAGCATGTATTTTATGTGCAAGTTACATTCAAGTTCCTTCTGTTAACAGTAGAAAGGATTTGATCTTGTTAATGCTCTGATATTTAAGCAATACTTAGAATAATGTCTAGATGATGTCTTTTTTTAAAATTATAATTATGTAAGTTAGTGAGAGATATTGAGTAACTACTTTTCTAAAATAATGAAAAATCATTATATAGTTGTAATTGATTTGTTAATGATTTCAGGTTATAGACTCATCCTTGCAGAAGCTGGAATATACTCCCACTGAAATACAAGAGTTTTTGGAATATTTTACTTTTTTGGATGCAATTTCTTCAAAAATATCTAAGTTAGAAAAAGAGTACACAATAGTTGCTCAGCTGTATTCTGTTGTCAGGTATTACCAGATCCATGTTTCAGAAGAGCAAATTGCCATTTATAAAATCCTTCTTATCAAGTTTGGTCAACTAAAAACTTCTGTGAAGTTAAGTGAAACAAATAAAGATGCTGCTATTTCTAAATTCAGAGACAATTTGGAATCATACATCACTGGGCTACATATTGAAGTTAGTAATTTAAAGGCTAAAGTAAGTTTTTGTTTCTCATTATGTAAGCCTAACATATAGGTATTTCCTTTTTGTGGAATCTTAAGTAAATAATTTAGTCTAAGTATTCTTAACCTGGAATCCACAGACATAATTTTGATTGGTGAATTTGAATGAGAAGTGAAATTATGTGTTTATTCTCACTAACCTCTAACTGAAGTTTAGCATTTTCTCCAACTTTGAGTTAATGAAGACAAGCAACAGTAAAGTGGTGATTTTTTTCCATAGGCTTCAACAGACTGCTAAAGTTGGCCCATGACGTAAAAAGGGCTAAAAAACCCTGGATACGTTTTGGGCCTTAGGCTAGGCCAAAAGATAATAGTTCCAGCTTCACTCACTTATGAGGAGCAAACTATACAATAAACACCTAACATTTATTGAGCTTTAACTAAGCGTCAATAATCATGCTAGGTGCTTTATCCTTTTTCTGCATGAAAATAAACAAACACCTCAGTTTTAAAGAGGTTAAGTAACTTGCTTAAGATCACACAGTGAGGGCTAGGGCTACAGAATCCTTGCTTCTCTCCACTCCCCTCTATCCCCACCACCATTACAAGTTACTATTATCATATTTATTCAGCATATTTTGGTACCTAATATGTATTAGGCACAATGTTATGTATTATACAATTTGTTACTTTAAAAATTTTCTACATCTATGCAGAATCTATACTGGCTTCACACAAATAAAATAAAGGTGAAAAAATAGGCATATGAGAGTACTTGAAATGCATTCAATTGCAATCTTTAAAATATTACTAGAAATTTCATATGCATGTGTACCAAGGTTTCTAGTTCACTCAATTTATATGTTAAGTGTACTAGGTTGGACACTGAGATGGAATATCTGTGTTACAGTAGATTCATTGGAAAGTGCTTCTGGCAACAATGTGAGGGCTTGAGGTAATCAAGGTTGGATAGAAGGAAAAATTGAATTCTAGTGTCATTGCCATGTAGGTTTCATAGGATCCTATGCTCTATGCTTAGTTGCCCAGCTGTGTCTGACTCTTTGTAACCCCATGGACTGTAGCCCACCAGGCTCCTCTGTCCATGGGGATTCTCCAGGCAAGAATACTGGAGTGGGTTGCCATGCCCTCCTCCAGGGGATCTTCCCAGTCCAGGGATTGAACCCAGGTCTCCTGCATTGCAGGCAGATGCTTTACCACCTGAGCAACCAGGGGAATCTCTATTGGAATGGCTCTGCAGAGATATCCTGAATGAAGACAAGAGGGCTGGTTCTTTACACATCCATGATGGAGCTATAGAGCGGGTTTAATCTTCTGTGACTTTTTGGTCAAGGGCAACCCTTGGGGAGGGTCTCAGCTAGAGTAAGCATCTATCTTTAGGTTCACTGATTCTTTCTTCTATCATCTTCATGCTATTGTTGAGTCAAATCCAATGAACTTCTACTTTTGTTTATTGTGTTTCTCAGTTCTAAAATTTTCATTTGATTTTTCTTTATATCTTTTTTATTTTTCTTTGCTAAGACTTTCTATTTTCCAAGTGGCTTCAAGAATATACATTGTTTCTGTGCAGCATTGTTATAAAACCTACTTTATATTCTTTGTCAGATAATTCTAACATCTGTGTCATCTAGACATTGGTGTCTATTGATTATTTTTTCCCATGTGAGTTGAGGTTTTCCTGATTTTTTGTATATGGAATAATATTGGATTAAATATTATGCTCTAAAGTTCTGTGTCTTACCTAGATGCCATGTTGGTATTTTTGTTTTAGAAAACTGTTGACCTAGTCAGATTCAGGTCCCAAGTTCCAACCCACTTTCTTTGGGCTGTGGGTTTCTTTCCATTGTTATTTCCATTATCAATGTCTCTAAAGTGCTGTTCAGACCATGTGTGTGCCATCCAATAGTCAGTATTATTCTGGGTAGTGGTATGTTAGTTTAATCTCAGAGTCTTTGATGTGCTGAATAGGATCAGATCTATATGTGTGCAGCTCAATTGAGCCCAGGAGTTCATTAACAACTTTATGTAGTTACTTTCCAGAGGTCCTTTCTGTTTACAATCTTCTCCTTATTTTCCAGATTCTCTGCACTCTTTTTTTCAGTCCTCTGGTTAGAAAACTGGGACTTGATACTGTACTCTGTCAACTTCCATAACTGCACCCACATCTGGGGCAAAGTAGTAGAACACACAGAAAAAAATCAACAGGGTGTACCCTCCTTAGAGCCACAGATTCCCAAGACAGAAAGTAAAGTTCTCTTCCCTCAGAGTTTCAGCTCCTGAGGCTTCCATTGCCACCACCTTAAAATTGTTTGAGCAATTGGTTGTGAGAAAAAAGAAAAAGAGAGAGAAAGAGAGGATTTCCATACTCTGAGCATTAGGAGATGTCAAAGAAAACCCAGAGTTGAACAGTAGTCAAAGTGGTAAAATCATATTTTTATTCAGTATGATTGCAATAGGGGAAATGATCTGTTGTCTAGGATGAGCAGACATTGAGGGTGGGAATTCTGGTTAAACTGACTTAGCAGGGTTCTTACTAATACTTAATTTTATAAGGAAGTGCACAAATGAGCCTAAAAGTTACAACCTACTTAGTAGTCAGTCAGAAAGAAAAGAAAGTGAAATGGCTCAGTCGTGTCCGACTCTTTGTGACCCCATGGAGCCTACCAGGCTCCTCCGGCCTTGGGATTTTCCAGGCAATAGTACTGGATGAGGGGGAGGGGAGGGGAAGTTGCCATTTCCTTCTCCAAGGGATCTTCCTGACCCAGAGATTGAACCCAGGTCTCCCACATTGTAGACAGATGCTTTACCATCTGAGCCACCGGGGAGCCTGACTTAAGTTTGGTCAAAGAATCTTTGTCAGAACCTTTCTTGCTCCTCAAGTCAGAACTAGTAAGTTCTCCTGGAGCTCTCACTGTTGTTGCCTCCTGAAAAATCCTCCCAGGTTTCTCATACATTGAGCTTAGGTCAGGGAGAAAATTGTAAACTCACTGCTAATTTGGTGGCATTTCAAGTTACCATCTTCTTCCCCAACCTGCCTTCTACAATTTATTTTCAGGTTTCTCACCTCACTGCTCCCTCCATGTGTTCTGTCCAGGATTTATAGATGTATTCATTGGGAAAGACAGGGTGGGGCATATTTATTCCATCTTCTGATTGATGCAATTACATAAACTTTTAAATTATTTTATTGGTATACTTAGTGACTGATACCATTCTGTGAAGATCTCAATTAGAACTCTGCTGATAGAGTTGACAAAACTTTACCTCCATCTAAGCAGCTACGATTATTTCTCCAAGTATTCCCTCCCCCCAAAGATAGCTCATTTACAAACATAAATAAATATTAATGAATGGAAAATTACAGGAAAAGCCTAAAGAAAATTTTATTATAGTCCATTATATAAGCATCACTGATATATATTATTCTAAGCCCTCTCCATCATCACAGTTACTATTTATCAATTGCTTAAGTTTTTGTGTTATGATTGCTATCGGTACTTGTTGGATGACCACACTACACATAACACAGTGCTACATGCAGTTCCATGGGTTTGATTTTTTTTAAAGAATAAGGTGATAGGATCCAAATTCATTACTTCTTCCAACAGCTTTTATATATGATTGTACTAGGTTCTAAGAGGTATACAAAAATAAATAAGTGAAATTATCCTTAATCTTTAGAATTTTATAATATAGTAAGAAATCAGAGCAAAATTTTACTTATATCCCTCTTTGGAGGTTATTGTTGCAAATGTCCACAATTTTCTGTGCAGTGGGAAAACTAATATAAGGCAACATGAGATGGATGAAACTGGAGCCCATTATACAGAGTGAAGTACGCCAGAAAGATAAAGACCATTACAGTATACTAACACATATATATGGAATTTAGAAAGATGGTAACAATAACACTACATGCAAAACAGAAAAAGAGACACAGGTGTATAGAACAGACTTGTGGACTCTGTGGGAGAAGGCAAGGGTGGGATGTTTCAAGAGAACAGCATCGAAACATGTATATTATCTAGGGTGAAACAGATCACCAGCCCAGGTTGGATGCATGAGACAAGTGCTCGGACCTGGTGCGCTGGGAAGACCCAGAGGGTTCGGATGGAGAGGGAGGTAGGAGGGGGGATCGGGATGGGGAATACATGGAAATCCATGGCTGATTCTTGTCAATGTATGACAAAACCACTACAATATTGTAAAGCAACTAGCCTCCAACTAACAACAACAAAAAAAAGGTAACGTGATAAACATCATTCAAATAATACCAAGTTCAGCATCATCAGAAAAAGGAAGTAAGTTTGAAGTGCAGGCTATCCTAGGGCCCTACCCTGGAACTGCCATTTACCATTAGATGATGGGAACCTCTGAACTTCTTGAAAAATCATGGAAAATATAAATTATCTCTCAAATTTCTTGTATGAACTTAATGTTACTTAATGTCCTCAATGTTACTTATCACAGGACCTGACATACAGAAGGTACACAAATTTTAGGTATTATTGTAATAAAAAATAATTAAAATTAAGCATAATCATAAATAAGTATAAATTAAAGACAATCTTTTCAGATAATGATTGCAAATAATGTTTGTTGACACTTAGGTGGCATATTAAAATGCTGTCAATAAAACATGTTTAAGTTCAGAACATTATACCTTCCTAAAAATGTCTTATTATTTTTTTAGATAAGAAATTCTGTTTTGTTATGTGCTAGTACTCCAGTGTCAACAGCAATGGAAATGATCCAGAATCTTTCAGAGGAGGCTGCAAATTTAGCTGTCAAAGCTAAAACATATTCAAACTATCAGAATTGTTTCGATGATTCCCAGTCTCTCATGCATTTTCTTAACGTGGAAGAGATCACACAGATTGTACTTTCAGAGATCGCTGACATTGACTATGACTTAACCTTAAGGAAAATATTATGGGATGCACAAGAGGAATGGGGAACACTCTTTTGGGAATGGAGGAATAGCACTCTTGACAGTATTGATACAGAATCAGTATATAGAAATGTTTCAAAATGGATGCAAATAATCTTTGTACTAGAAAAAGGTAAAGTGTCTTTCTCAAGTCCTTCTAATTTACACAAAAATGGCTACTGGGCCAGCAAGCTCATTGTCCTTGGCTTTGTTACTTTACCTGTTCCAAGGACTGACCATTAACAACTGAAAAGACAGTACAAGAGTATAGGTAGGAATCACTTCCTGAAGCAAAAAAGAGATTAAAACTTTGGAAAAAAAATTTTTTAATTAATTAGTAACAATTTTATATCTGTTAAAAATTGATTCCCTAAGTGGAACCCCAAACGTTTCCCCCTGATTCTGGCTCTTAGCACCACAGATATTTTGATGTTAAGGACCAACCTTCAAACCCTCACCGTGTATGCAGATAGTATACTTTGGGCAATGCGGGAAACAGCCAGAGTCATTTTGATAGGTTTTCCTTCTGCTAATCATCAAATCTGAAATCTTGCCAACACAGAGATGCTGTTCCTGTGCAAGCAATTCTGTAAAATCAAATCCTTTCCAAATAGAAAGCTTTATTCCACTTGGCAAGATAATGCTTTTTTAAAAAAATTCCTCTCACCTCTCAGCTATACCTTAAGCTATAGGTTTTTATTAAATAGTTTTTTAAATAGTTTTCTTTATAGTTTTTTTTCTTTCAAGGAAAACACCTTAATTTGCTTGTTTTTAAATTATATAAGAAATATGACTATCACAGAAACTGTAGAAAAGAGAAAAATTGGGGACAAATCACCCAGAGTGGTAAAGCAACACAACACTCATTTTGTGCATTCTCTTTCAATATTGTGTCATATATCTGTTTCAGAGAGCTACATATGAAGTAACAAGTAGACAACACTTTCTTTTATCCATAATTTCCCAGATAAAATCTTGTTCACCACAGTATAGACTTGCAGAAAACTTATTCTCATCTTTTTATCTAATCAAGTCTTGAAATACACTTTGTTATTCAACATAGCTTTATAAAATAAGCCTCATCTGTACCAATTGGATGGTCAAGAATATGTGTAGTTTTCAGTTCTCTCAAGTGCCGTACTTTGGCTATTTCCCTGTCTCCTCCCTCTTTTATAAATTGAGTCAAAGGTTATAAGGGTTGACCTTCAGCTGCACAGGTTTTGAGTCCTGCACCCTTTGTGTGTGCTGTGCTTAGTCGCTCAGTCATGTCCGACTCTTTGCCACCCCATGGACTATAGCCCGCCAGGCTCCTCTGTCCATAGCGATTCTCCAAGCAAGAATACTGGAGTGGGTTGCCATGGTCTCCTCCAGGGGATCTTCCCGACCCAGGAATCTGTATCGTGGTGTGTTGGTAATGCCAGAGGAAAGATCAGTTCTGGTCTATGGCAAAGTTTTTACCTACATTTTCTACATTTCAGTGTGAAGATATGTTATTTATGAAATGATAGTGACTGGTTTTTTCCCTTAATGTTCTTTTAATGAGCAGAATTGAAAAGCCCCAAAACCATAGTAGTCTTTTGAATTGTATGTGTGTACCTCTCTGTATGTCTATCTTGTCAGGGAAAATCTGGGAAACCCTGTGGTAACTAGCTATCCCTAGTATCAAATTTTGCAAAATAACTTGTTCTGATAGTTTGAGGTTTTAATGACTAGTCCTGATTAACTATTTCCCTTTATTTTAATCCATGCTTGATTCTTATGGGAGAGACATGTTAGTAAGCTTCATTATTTTAGTGCAGATTAATAACTGATAAAGCAATATTACATTAAATAGCAGATTTGTTTTCTGGCTTAGAAAATGTGGACTGTATGGTAAAGCTGCTGACCCATTGCTTCTTATAGGTCTACCTAAAAATGACATGGTGACACATCTTAAGCAATCAGTGATAGATTTTAAACAAGAGCTGCCAATCATCATAGCACTAGGAAACCCCTGTCTCAAGCCAAGGCACTGGGAAGCTCTCCAGGAGATTATTGGAAAGTCAGTGTCTCTTGATAAAAACTGTACAGTAGAGAATCTTCTAGCACTCAAGGTAAATTAAAATAGTTTGAAATAAAGTTGGCATAGCAGAAGGCCCAAATTTAAGTAGGCAAGTAAATATACAAGGAGTAGGAATTGGAAAAATAAGACATTTATGGAATGTTAGGAAAAGTAGGAGTATAATGTATTAGTAGGTGATAGGTGATGCTTCATTGATGGTAGTTTAGTACAGATTAATAACTGATAAAACTAGTATTACATTGAATAGTAAATTTGTTTTTTGGTTTAAAAAATATGATGTACATATTATAAGTGTAAGCCGTTTATCATGCCGTTACTACTAGGTGATTCGAAAACAGTAATACATTACTACTAGGTGATTCGAAAACAGTAATACATTACTACTAGGTGATTCGAAAACAGTAATACTGGTTTTCATGCATAACAAATGAAATTAAATTAGTGTTTTTATTTAACAGTGATACTTCTTGTGGAGAGTAAATTTTATAGGAATACAATCAAAACCACAGTATTTATATAAAATGAAGATATATTAAGAGCATGTTAGGGTGGCCCTACAAATAACTTGATATTCTATTTAAAATATACAATTAGCAGCTATTTGATTTACCTGTAGGTTTTGTTATAAAAATAAAATTTACTATGATTTTCATGGTTAAAATTTTTCTATTTTCATGTGTAGTTTACAATAAGCTTCATTTATATTTCATGTTCCACAATTGACAATGTCTAATATAACCAAGGACTGGTGCCGAAGCTGAAACTCCAATACTTTGGCCACCTTATGCCAAGAGTTGACTCATTGGAAAAGACCCTGACGCTGGGAGGGACTGGGGGCAGGAGGAGAAGGGGACGACAGAGGATGAGATGGATGGATGGCATCACCGACTCGATGGGCATGAGTTTGAGTAAACTCCGGGAGTTTGTGATGGACAGGGAGGCCTGGCATGCTGCGATTCATGGGGTCGCAAAGAGTCGGACACGACTGAACGACTGAACTGAACTGAATATAACCAAAATAGTATTTTATGCCTATAATTTTCTACTAAATGACTTGCTATAATGAGGAAATGGAGAAAAAAATTTAATTAGACAAGAAAAATTTTTAAAGTGAACTTTAATTTATTTTAAAAATTAATTTATATCTTTAGCCCTAAAGTCAGCTGCCCTTCTGAACTCATAGATCCACTGCCACTTATATGTCTAAAAAAAAACCTCAAAGTTAACATGTCAAAAATGCACTTCTCTTTCTCCATCTCCCAAATTCCACTCTTCCTTTATCCTCACCATCTCAGTTAATGGCACCTCCACTCTTTTCTCGTTACTTAAGCCAAAAATGATGAAATAATCTTTGAATCTTCTCTTGCTCTCTCTTTCCTCATCTCATCTAAATGTTGCATCCTTCCCTGGATCATTATCAGAGTATCCGAACTGAACTATGGTCCAAGAGTTAATTCATCAAAATATCTAGATAGTTTCAGACTATTTAATCAGTGCCAATGAGCATTCCAAAAATCTGGCACAATTTCAACAATCAGTCAGTTCAGTCACTCAGTCGTGTCCGACTCTTTGCAACCCCATGAACCGCAGCACGCCAGGCCTCCCTGTCCATCACCAACTCCCGGAGTCCACCCAAACCCATGTCCATTGTGTCAGTGATGCCATCCAATCATCTCATCCTCTGTTGTCCCCTTCTCCTCCTGCCCTCAATCTTTCCCAGCATCAGGGTCTTTTCAAATGAGTTAGCTCTCCGCATCAGGTGGCCAAACTATTGGAGTTTCAGCTTCAACATCAGTCCCTCCAATGAACACCCAGGACTGATCTCCTTCAGGATGGACTGGTTGTATCTCCTTGCAGTCCAAGAGACTCTCAAGAGTCTTCTCCAACACCACAGTTCAAAAGCATCAATTCTTCGGCGCTCAACTTTCTTTATAGTCCAACTCTCACATTCACACATGACTACTGGAAATAAATGGAGATATTAAATAGGACGACATATGGGAACAGCAGTAGAATCTTCTTTCAGGGGTAAAAACAACGAGGGCAGCTAGTTAATTCCAAGATGCAGAGAAGAGCAGCTCTCCATGTATCTCTGTTCTGGTGATTGAATCTGGAGATATTACATTAAGATTTTTTTTTACATTAAGATTTTGTCCAGTGGAAATTGGCAGTCAGTACACATGGAAAGGTCTGTAAATACTCCATTAAAGTATTTTGAGAGACATTTATCCTCATGGAGCTGTGTCAAAGTGAAGCCATGGAAAGCTGTGCTCATTAGAGTTATGTTCTCTCAGATTATTATATCCCAAGAATTATCATAGAAAGTAAAAACTTGTCACAAAATAATCAAGCAGTTGGCATTAGTGCAGAGAAAAGAAAAGCTGAAAGAAATAATGCTATCTGCAGATATGCAGAAGGTGCTGTTAACTATTTTTTACACTGACTAGAATCAGAAGAAAGAAATATTGAGTCAGAAATTTTCACTGAGCAAGAAGAATGTGAAATAGAATGATTAAAAACTGAAAAGGGCTACTTCATGAGTTAGACCGTGAAATCTCTGGTTAGGATATAAACCTAACTGGAATCAGATTTTCAACACATTCATTTAAATCTTCCATTTTAAATGTATCAGGAATTATTTGCTCCATTGGATATTAACAATTTTTTGTTTTAGATGTTTCAGTATGAAAATGAAATAAATGAGATATCAACCTCAGCAACTAATGAAGCTGCTCTTGAGAAAATGCTGTATAGGATTATTGATCTTTGGAACACTACTCCTTTACATTTAGTTCTTCATCACACCGAGGCTTACTCTATCCTAATAATTTCATCTATAGATGATACATTAGCTCAACTGGAAGAGTCTCAAATCATACTTGCCACAGTTAAAGGATCTTCCTATCTCGGGCCCATTAAGGTAAATATTACAGCAGAGGGAAATGTCTTAACTGTCTGTAGTTTTATCACTTTAATTTTTGCATTGTATAAGCTTTTGAATGTATAAATCATTCATGTACTTGTATAGAAGAGAGATTGAATATTTAGCATTTTAAATATTAAATACAACTTTTTATGGAAGCACTAATTATTCATCAGGAAATGTCAGAAAGTTTAATTTGGGCAGACTAGGTAAATTTACATCAAATTAAAAATATGACCATTTAAACCATGGTTTTTGCCAGCAACAGCACTGCTGCTAGATGCATCCACAGTTCTGATAGTCCTCATGCCAGAACTGTTGCCTTGAGATTCTTTTTGCTGAAGCGATATGTTTCATTTTCATTCCCTGTGCTATTTGTCTTAAAGGTTAATCCCACCTCTGTATTTGTGTATCCTTGCAATTATTTTTAACAGCTTTTATATCTATTGTAGTATAATTAGAAATTGAACTATAGAGTCAGCTTATATTCAGTGTTCCCTCATTCATGTGTGCTAAGTCACTTCAGTTGTGTTTGCAACCATATGGGGATTCTCCAGGCAAGAATACTGGAGTGGGGTACCATTCCCTTCTCCAGGGGATTCTTCCTGACAAGGGATTGGACCAGCATCTCTTATGTCTCCTGTATCGGCAGGTGGGTTACCACTTGCGCCACCTGGGAAGCTCCATTGTTTTAACAGCTTCTATATCTATTCTAGTATAATTAGAAATTGAACTACAAGGTCACCTTGTATTCAGTATTCCCTCATAGTCTCTGAGCAACCCTACATCCCATAACATAGCTAAGAGTGATTTTAAAACCTTAGGAATCACAATAAGATATAATGATATAGAGATATCTAAGAGTAAAATTAACATAATTGATTATAGATGGATAAAAACAAGAGAGAGAGAAATAGGTACTCAAAAAATGGACTTCACAGTATTTGCAAACACACAGACAGTTAGGTAAAGTGTCACTTATTTGGACCTTAGAGAAGAAAAACTCAGTAAATTACAAAAAAGAGATAAACCAAATAGACTGTTCTCTAACCACATCCAGTAAAATTTAAAAATGAACAGAAAAAGTAGCAAAAAATAGACCAAAACCAGCAACAACAAAATCACCCAGAAAAAAAATGGAAATTAAAAAGCAGCTATGAGAATGTGCAGGAAATGTTAATCAAATTTTTTAAATTAGAAATAAGCAAAAAGAAGAGAATTACAAGTCAAACCTTGTCACAATTGGCTAGAGTTCAACAAAAAGGAATATTCAGAGTACTAAATGCCAAAGAGTAAAAATGAATTTAATAAATGATAAATTAGGCATAGTCAAGAAGTTGAAAAGAACAGACACACACATCCACACACACCACTTTCACTTCCAAGCAGGAAGGAGTATGGGTACCAGGTACACCATTTTGCCTGAAATATCCAAATCATAACAGAAAAAATACATCAAACAATGGTTTTAGGAAAATGGACATCAAACACTGAAAGACCAAGATTCCTGAGAGTTGGCAAACAAGCAAGTTGAACCCTATTATTGCGCCATCTTTCTGTCATGAGTTTCCACACCTGGGTTGAGAGAGAGGGGAGAAATCTATCCAGAGGATGGTAGACTCCCTGGTATTAGGAGATGCTGTTGAAAGACTAAGAAGCAAAAGGAAGATAGAGTTTGCAGAATAAAGTATCAGGGAGGACAGAGCTACACTGAAAGGGAACTTCAGAGGTCTGTGGATATCCCTAGTCAGGTTCGCAGCGTACCCAGCCATATGAATGTAAAGAAACTAGTGGAGACCGGGACAGTGGTCATTGAGAGAATTAGAAGGAACGTTTCACACAGAGCTGGGAACAATACCCATATCCACCAGCTACAGTGACAAACAACAACAAAAACCTTTATAACTCACAAGCATTAGAGCACTTAAAAGGATAATGCCACAGTAATGTGTAATAATTAGTCCTAGATTAAATGCAGTTCATGTCCTCCCTAACAAATCTAAAAACAATACTTCAAGTGATAGAACTGCTTCTAAGTAGCTTAACTCCATCCAGAATAAAGCTCAAAAATAGGAACACAAAAATATTTAGTACCCAATATAGTAAAATTCATAATGTCTGGAATCCAATCAAAGACTATCAGACATTAAAAAAAAAAAAAAGAAAAGAGGAATCATAATGAAAAGGAAAAGCAACCAGTGGAAACTGATCCAGAACTGACATAGTTATTAGTTCTAATTAGAGACAAAGACATTGGAAGAATTACAACTATATTCCACATATTAAAAAGTTAAGGGAATAATGGATGATTTTTTTTTCATTTATTTTTATTAGTTGGAGGCTAATTACTTTACAACATTGCAGTGGTTTTTGCCATACATTGACATGAATTAGCCATGGATTTACATGTATTCCCCATCCTGGTCCCCCCTCCCACCTCCCTCTCCACCCAATCCCTCTGGGTCTTCCCAGTGCACCAGGTCTGAGCACTTGTCTCATGCATCCAACCTGGGCTGGTGATCTGTTTCTCCCTAGATAATATACATGTTTCGATGCTGTTCTCTTGAAACATCCCACCCTCGCCTTCTCCCACAGAGTCCAAAAGTCTGTTCTATACATCTGAGTCTCTTTTTCTCTTTTGCATATAGGGTTATCATTACCATCTTTCTAAATTCCATATATATGTGTTAGTATACTGTAATGGTCTTTATCTTTCTGGCTTACTTCACCCTGTATAATGGGCTCCAGTTTCATCCATCCCATTAGAACTGATTCAAATGAATTCTTTTTAATGGCTGAGTAATATTCCATGGTGTATATGTACCACAGCTTTCTTAACCATTCATCTGCTGATGGGCATCTAGGTTGCTTCCATGTCCTGGCTATGATAAACAGTGCTGCGATGAACATTGGGGTGCACGTGTCTCTTTCAGATCTGGTTTCCTTGGTGTGTATGCCCAGAAGTGGGATTGCTGGGTCATATGGCAGTTCTATTTCCAGTTTTTTAAGAAATCTCCACACTGTTTTCCATAGCGGCTGTACTAGTTTGCATTCCTACCAACAGTGGAAGAGGGTTCCCTTTTCTCCACACCCTCTCCAGCATTTATTGCTTGTAGACTTTTGGATAGCAGCCATCCTGGCTGGCGTGTAATGGTACCTCATTGTGGTTTTGATTTGCATTTCTCTGATAATGAGTGATGTTGAGCATCTTTTCTTGTGGATGATATTTTTTAAAAGACCAAAATCAAACTTCTAGAGATAAAATATGTAATATCCAAAGTGAAATAGACACTGAATAAAATTAACAGCAGGAGGAGAAGGAGACAACAGAGGATGAGATGGTTGGATGGCATCACCAACTCAATAGACATGAGTTTGAGTAAACTCCGAGAGTTGGTGATAGACAGGGAGGCCTGGCATGCTGCAGTCCATGGGGTCGCAAAGAGTCAGACACGACTGAGCAACTGAACTGAGCTGAAGATTAACAGCAGATTAGACATAGAAGGAGAAAAGGTTAGTGAATTTAAAAACATGACAGAAACTATACAAAGTGAAAAAAGAGAGAGAATTTTTAAAAGTAAAAAGAGCATCAGAACCCACAGCAAGCATTACCCGCAATGGTGAAAAATTGAAAGCATTTCCCCTAAAATCAGGAACAAGACAAGGGTGCCCACTCTCACCACTCCTATTCAACATAGTTTTGGAAGTGTTGGCCACAGCAATCAGGGCAGAAAAAGAAGTAAAAGGAATCCAGATAGGAAATGAAGAAGTGAAACTCTCGCTGTTTGCAGATGACATGATCCTCTACATAGAAAACCCTAAAGACTCTATCAGAAAATTACTAGAGCTAATCAACGAATACAGTAAAGTTGCAGGATATAAAATTAACACACAGAAATCTCTTGCATTCCTATACACTAACAATGAGAAAACAGAAAGAGAAATTAAGGAAACAATACCATTCACCATTGCAACAAAAAGAATAAAATACTTAGGAGTATATCTACCTAACGAAACAAAAGACTTAGAAAACTATAAATCACTGATGAAAGAAATCAAAGAGGACACAAGCAGATGGCGAAATATACCGTGTTCATGGATTGGAAGAATCAATATTGTCAAAATGGCTATACTACCCAAAGCAATCTACAGATTCAATGCAATCCCTGTCAAGCTACCAACGGTATTTTTCACAGAACTAGAACAAATAATTTCACAATTTGTATGGAAATACAAAAAACCTCGAATAGCCAAAGTAATCTTGAGAAAGAAGAATGGAACTGGAGGAATCAGCCTGCCTGACTTCAGACTATACTACAAAGCCACAGTCATCAAGACAGTATGGTACTGGCACAAAGACAGAAATATAGGTCAATGGAACAGAATAGAAAGCCCAGAGATAAATCCACGAACCTATGGTCACCTTATCTTCGACAAAGGAGGCAAGGATATACAATGGAAAAAAGACAACCTCTTTAACAAGTGGTGTTGGGAAAACTGGTTACCACTTGTAAAAGAATGAAACTAGAACATTTTCTAACACCATACACAAAAATAAACTCAAAATGGATTAAAGATCTTAACCTAAGACCAGAAACTATAAAACTCCTAGAGGAGAACATAGGCAAAACACTCTCCGACATAAATCACAGCAGGATCCTCTATGACCCACATCTCAGAATTTTAGAAACAAAAGCAAAAATAAACAAATGGGACCTAATGAAACTTAAAAGCTTTTGCACAACAAAGGAAACTATAAGCAAGGTGAAAAGACAGCCCTCAGATTGGGAGAAAATAATAGTAAATGAAGCAACAGACAAAGGATTAATCTCAAAAATATACAAGCAACTCCTCCAGCTCAACTCCAGAAAAATAAATGACCCAATCAAAAAATGGGCCAAAGAACTAAACAGATATTTCTCCAAGGAAGACATACAGATGGCTAAAAAACACATGAAAAGATGCTCAACATCACTCATTATCAGAGAAATGCAAAT